CATAGGGTCGCTGAGTCCCAAATGACTTGACGGCACATAACAACAACAACAACAACAGTTCTTTCAGCCTGAGAAATGCCAAATGTGTTCTTCCCTTCTAGTCTCTAACTCCAGGTCTTTGCACACTTCATTTTAATACTTCACTGTCTTCTCAAGCTGCCCTCTGAAATATTTTAGCAATGTAGTGTGTCACTTAGTGGGCTGCTAAGTGAAAGGTGAGCTGTTTGAATCCACCAGCCACTCTGCAAAAGAAAGATGGGTGGTCTCCTGCCATAAAGATGTGTTGTTGTTGTTAAGTGCTGTCGAGTCACAGGCATAACGACCCTATGAAGGAAAGTCCTCAACACTTGTGTGTCTTCTGTCCTCTCTCCAGGTTCGTAGAGTTTCCGGAGGCAAGCTATTATGGAAGTGGATGCCACTCCTGTTTCCAAGCTTGTTAGTCTCTGGAAACTAATGCCTGGTCATGATGAGTTGGAAATGACTTTACAGGAGTTTACTAAAATACAGTAAGCAGTAAGTTCACATTTACATACACTTAAGAATATCTGACTCAGATACGTCTTGTGGCCCTTTAATGTTATTTGAAACCCCAACTCATAACAAATTACTCATCCCAATCACCTTTAATTTACTGCACAAGCATGTACAGCTTTTAAATCTCTTAAAAGGCTTTGAGTCTTTTCTTGCAGCAAAATAAGTCTAAAAAAGTTGAACCCACTTGTTCTAACTTACCTACAAAGTCAACTTAAAGACACTTAGGAACAGATATTACTCAAAACCCAGGACCTGCCTGTAATAAAACAGGTTGGTATGATTAAGGCAGGGCTACTATAAATAGGGTGGTCTGGAAAGATTTCTCTCAGAGGGACATTTGAGCTGAAACATAAATGATGAAAATGAGACAGCCAAGCAATTATCTGGGGGAAGCACATTCCAGGCAGAGGAAAAAGCAAGTGCAAAGCCCCGAGGCAGGAAAAAGGTTGTGTATTAAAAGATGGGCAAGAGAGCCAGCATGGTTTCAGAGAGGTGGCGAGAGGGAGTAATAGATAAGGTCCCAGAGGTCAGCTGAGGCCTCCTAGCAGTGCCTCTAAAATCATAGTGAAGATTTCCGGATTCTTTCAAAGTATGATAAGCCTTTGAAGGTTTTCAACAGAGGAATGACGTGATCCGGTTCACATGTGAAGCGCATTCAGACAGCTGTATGGGGAACTCATCACAGACAGAGCCATCTTCTCCATCAGCACCAGACAGAATGCATGTGGCTGATGAGCTTTTCAGGGGCTATGAAAAGGTTGGGGGTGGGGATAAAGAAGAAGAAGGAAAAAAAAAAAGTCTCATAAAGAAAACTGCAAAGTTGAGACGAAGAAAATCTTCAATTAAACATTTAGAAACCTTAACAATACAGCAACTTCATTCATCAATAATTTAGTACTTGTGAACAATCAAATTACATTTGGAGATTATGTGGAAATGAAGATTTTCCTCCAAATTTCCCAGTATGCCCTATGCTTGCCAAGAAAGCAAAGACAATTATAAACATAAATTTTCTGGCGGCCAAATGATGTAAAAGGGGAAAAAATATGGTTTCAAGGTTTTTTTTGTTTTTTTAAACAATTCATCTAATGTGAGACGTAGATACAATAAAATATGCCTACCACCAAAAATCTCAAGATTCTGAGATCACAGATGTAGACAGATGGCAGAGGCCCATGGTCTGGATCAGTGCTACTGAGGGCCAGAGAGAAGCAGGTCTGACACATCACCCCAGAAGACCCAGAACACCAAAGCAGTGAGTTTGAACATCTTTCAGGGGATCACTGGAAAGGCTTCTCTGAAGGGAAAATATTTGAACCAAAAACCATGAACGAGAAGAAGACAGCTGGCCCAAGAGTTGGGAGAAAGGGTTTCCAGCAATGCCTCTGAGCTGTCAGTTTTTTAAGGAACATAAAAAGGGTCTGGGTGGCTGGACTCAAGGTGGAGGCCTGTGGGGTCAGAGGGAACAAAGCACGTGGGGTCCTGATGGCAATGGTCTCATTCCAGAACCAGAGAAAAGCACTCGCATTTCCAGCAGGGAAGTGACCTGATTCCATTTGTTTTAGATTCATGCTGCCCAACAGTATGTGAGCCTTTCTCCACAGGTGGCCGCCTGAGTCTGATTGCAAGCTCGACCTTCAAGTTCACGTCATTCAAAAACCGAAACAAAAAAAAACAAAAAAATCTGAAATGGGAGTCAGTTAGAAAGAGAACTCAGTTTTGGGTACAACCTGGACTCATAGCCGTACTTCCAGGGTAAAATGCATGAAATCTAAAGCCCATTCCTGATGAAAATTTAACGTCCCAGTTGGGGATGTGCGGTGGGTGTCAAACACACATGGGACTGCAAGCCTTAGTACTGAGTAAGTTACGCCGTTACTATTTTTAATAATCCTATGGTTTTGGGGTTTTTTTTTTATTTTTTTAAAATTTTATTAATTTTTGTGTGTACTGTCAAATCCGATTGTCCTTCCGTCTCCAGCAGAGCATCTGGTGGATTCGAACTGCGTACCTCTGGGATTGCAGTGGAACTTCTTGCCACTATCCAGAGTTCCCTAATAAACCATATTTTAACAATATTGTGACTATGTAGGATTGGAGGCGACATGTTAATAATTTTTCCCCTTTTTTAAATGTAGATACTAGACAGGGTAAAATATGTAAAATTAGGGTGTGTTTTCCATTGGGCAGTAAGGGTCTCTGACAGATGGAGAGAGCAAAGGGGTGGAGGCGCCGGGGTCTTTTGGAGCCGGGGGAGGGGGGAAGAAGGTGGTCCAGACGAAGAGCTAAGGTTGGAAGAAGGTTCTGGAAATACGGTGGTGTGATGAAAGCTGCCAATGAATTTTCAAAACCCTGCTGAACGTAACTACGAGCAGCAGAGTCTCGGACTCGAACTCACGCCCGCACGCATTCTGTCGCGAAACCCAGTGGGATGTGGGGATTTTTCTACTAGAAACCTTCCAGCGGCCCTCGAAGTGGAGATGCGGAGATTCGAACTAGGTTGCAATCCCGACCAAGCTCAGCGCGTTCCTGTCTCTTCGTCTCCCCTCAGGGACCAGTCAAATGTTCACAACCGACTCCTGGTCGCCAGATCTGAGAGACCAGTCTTTTATTTAAAAAAATTTCACCTGCGGACAGACGCCAAAGCCTAAAAATATTTCTCCCTTCGGAGCTGGACGCAACAGCGCAGGCGCATGACGGCCCCCTCCACCCCCGCCTTATCTCGCGAATCTTCAGTCGCGCTGTCACTCCGAATCCCGCCCCTATTGTCAGGATGGCCAATCGCCTGCCAGTAAACCTACTTTCTTCCCCACCTACTTTACCTTGCCAATCACCGCTGGCCCTACCGCCCAGCTAGCCGTCTTCAGTAAGCGCCGCGCGCCCCCGCTCGGCCGTTGGCGGCGTTGCCACAACAGGATGTTAGCCCCCCGGAAGGGCGGGGCGAAGCACGCGCCATGCTGGTACGGGAAGTCTTGGGATTGGTCCAGAGGAGCCCCGCCCTCTGTGTCATCCACTCCCACTCCCCGTTTCCGAGTCGGAGACACAGGGGATTGGCCCCCGATGGGATGGGCGCCCAAAGAAACAAGGGCATAGTCCCGCCCACTTCGCCCTCGCCGGAGAGGGAGCCCCGCAGATTTGTCTGGGAGTCTCGGCGCGAGCTACCGACGCTCTGGGATTGGCTGGGGGCGGGCTCGCGCCTCCATACATCGTTGGCGGTGATTGGCCGGAGGGCGGAGCGGCTATTTGAAGGCGGCGCGCGAACGAGGTGCGCGTCTCAGTCCGCGGAGAGAGGTGGCGGGAACGGCTTTGGGCAGCACTTCTCCCTCGCGCACAGCCTACGCACGACCCTTAGGTTGGCCCCGGGCCAGCCTTCAGTCCTGGTCCTTAGCCCCGGCCCGGCGAGGCCATGGCCAAGGTGTCGGTGCTGAACGTGGCGGTGCTGGAGAATCCAAGCCCTTTCCATAGCCCCTTCCGGTTCGAGATCAGCTTCGAGTGCAGTGAGGCCCTGGAGGACGGTAAGACGGGGCCTGCGTGGAGTCACCCCGACTTACACGGAGACACCCTCCCACGATCAGCCCTGACCTCCCAGTGGCCACCCCCAACCTCCATCACCCTCCCCGTGGGCATTCCCAGTACCAACCTGATATAACCCACCCCCACCTCTTCTACCAAACCTGGCTCCATGGCGAATCCCCCTCCAAGGCCACCCTCTCCCGCGTCTATGGAGGCATCCACTCGTGTGTGTGTGTGTCCGTGTGTCCTCCCATTACAGTGGACCTCAGCCACCCTTTGACAGGACGCCTGCCCTCATTTCCCCCCTCTTCCATTGGGGGTGAGTCTGCTCGCTCGTCACAAACCCCCCTGTGGCCAGAAACGCCCAACTCTTTTCCTCTTGAGACTCCAGCGCCTCTCATTTTCTCTTTGGAGATCTCCTCCCTCCTCTGCTGCCTGTGAATGAAGACTCCCTTTAAAGCAAGATCTCGCCATCTCCCTGACCTGCTAATGATAGTTAAACCTCCCACCCCAACACACACACATATTCGAACACACTCACACACTTCCGCTTCTCTTAGTGCCAAAGCGCCCTGGGCAACCTTAGCCATTTGCTCTTAAATTTTTCTAGACTTTTTAAAAGGTCTTTCTTTTCCCTCTTGCTCTCCATCCCAAAGCATACACAAACACACGCATATCTTTATTATATTCTAGAGCCTGGCTGTTCTCCTCCTTACCCCCCTCTATGTTGGAGCTCCACCTGGGGAGCGGAGATCTGGACTCTCCCTCCAAATTTAGGGTGGCTTCAGCCTCCCAAGCTGGTCTCTGCTGGGATGAACCTCCTATCGGAGGGGTGGAGGAGCCAGGCTAGCAGGAGCCCCTTAGGTTGCAACCTCACTTCCTGCAGCCTTTTCCCTCCAGTGCTTCAGATGTGCTGACCTAGGCTTGGGGGAGGGGGACCAGGCTGAACCAAGGCTGCATGTGCCTTCAAACAGCCCTTGGGAGAGGTCTCACAACCTTTGGTGCCTCTCTTCCAAGGGGCTTTTCATGGATGTACTCACAAGGCCGTGTGACATAAGGGTAGACACAGCTCTCATCTCCCAGATGAGAGAGCGGAACCACAAAGCCCAAAAGACCTTTAAGCAAGTGAGCTAGAAAATTGCAAAGCCCGTCATCTCAGGTCGCCCAGAGAGCTGGGCACAGCTAACAGGAAAGCCCTCCAACTGCACGGCCTCCGCCGTTTAGCTGGTAAAGAAGGGGCAGCTGAGGAGGTGAGGCTGGGGGCTGACGAGCCCTTCTGAGCGGCAGGTGTGTGGTTTGCTTAGATTAGCTTGGGGCCAGTTGGGTTTGAACCTTTGGGTCAGTTGCCCTCTGGTGCCTCATGCTCCTTTTCTAAATGAAGGAGTCCATTTGTGACTGATGGTGGAGTAAGCCGAGTTAAATCCTTGTTGGAACCAGGCTGAGTATAAATAAATAAATAAAGTCTAGAATGACACTGTGGAATAAGATTTAATTTTAAAGTCAGGAAGAGATGGAAGGAGCTAATGGGTTAAGGGATTCACAGTTCCCAGATGGCAGGAGATAGGGTTTCCATCAGCCTGTTTGTGCTCCGTGAATTAAAAATGGGTGCGTGGCCGTTATTTTTATTCTGAGGAAGCCCCTGCCCTGTGACTCGGAGTATTTGACTCTGCTTACTGAATCAGGACTAGAAAGGTGAAAATCAACCATGTGCGTTTTGTTTTTTTCAGAGGGAAGTGCAAGGACTTCTCCAAGGTCCCTCAGCCACTTTGTAGAAACTCAGGGACAAGAGCTTATCTCTGAATTCTGAGTCTGAGTTAGTCTTTTCCTCTTCCCATGAGTGGGAGCAAAAGCAAGAAAGCGTTCCCTATATTAGGCACATGCTTCAAATCTACCAGCTGCGTCCATAGAAGGATGGCCAAGCTCCTCCTAAGTGATTTACTACCTTTGAAAACCCTCTGGAGGGTCAGCTGTGTCAGTTCCAACTCAGCGGCACACAACAACATATAAGGGGCGTTGTATAAATAGGGAGGACCATATGATTGATTGCTAACATAGGACACTCAAAAGAAAAGGGGGGCAGGACCCCTAATTATGCCAGACAGTCAAGCAAAGTTTTCCCTGAGAAACTCCAATTGGAAATTAAACTGTGGCTTGGAAATCTCGACTTTAGTTTTCCGCCTTCTCTGGCTTTGTGTCTCTGTACTGCCATCTAATGAGCTCTGGTTACACTATGGTTAAGGCATTCATCTAACCAAAAAGTTGATAGTTCAAACCCACCAACTGATCTGTTGAAGAAAGATAAGGACAGTTGCTTTCATAAAGATTTACAGCCTTGCAACTCTGGGCAGCTCTGCTTTGTTCTGCAGGAACACCTTGTGTCAGAATCCGCCCAATGGCAGTGGGTTTAGTATTTGTAATTGGATGCTGCCGACTGAAACCTGGCATACCACCCAGTCCCCTCAGTCAACCCATTTCCCAGAGCATCCAAGCCCCTTGTGCTGTCTCTTCTCTTCTCTTCTTCCTCTGGAAATAGATGGCTCCAAGGCATTGGTCCATATATAACACGTTAAATGTGTTTTTCCGTGGTTTAGTTGACAAATTTAACTGACACTGGTTGAATAAACTGTAGGAGGTTAGTGGTTTGACCCACCAGGCGTTCATGGAAGAAAGGTGTAGGAGTTGGGTGTTTCTGTTCCGTCTTACAGAATTGTTAGGAATTGAGATGGGCTCAACAGCAACTGTGAATCCCTTAATGTTGTGACACAGAACTGGGGAGACCAAGCTGTGACCCACTGTGGGGAGGCCAAGGTTCATCTATATCCTTACAAAGTGAAACAAAAAGGCATAGGTATGTCAAAAACCCAGACTCCTCAGACAGCTCAAGTACAGTAATTTGTCTGTGTTTTTAATCTTATTCTTGGTTTGGATTTTGTTTTCCTATTTAGTGGAAGGCATCTTTTGTGAGAGCGAGGTTGTAAAGTTAGCGCATTAAAAACAAAACCTAGTGGCAAGAAGCAGCACTACAATCCCAGAGGTACTACTTGATTTGAAGCCATCAGATGCTCTGCTGGAGAAGGAGGGGCAATCTCCTCCTGTATCAGTCAGATCCAATTTGACGGTACACACACACAAAATAATAAATAATTTTTTTAAAAAAAAACTGCACCCTTTGAAGTTCCCTATAAAGTCACGTGTGTGATGTCATGTGTTTGTGCACTTGGGCAGTTGTAGCCTGTACTCATTCAGTACCTACGAGTTCAGCTGTATAGAGCACTTTTTGCCTCTAACGGACGGTTCTAGTCAGAAATTAAATAATTTAAGGGTGCCTCTGCTTAAAAGGGAAACCTGGTTAAAGCATTTGGCTGTTAACCAAAAAGGTCATTGGTTTGACCCTCCTAGCCCTCAGCAAGAGAAAAGTGAGACAGTCTGCTTCCATAAGAATTCACAGCCTTGGGAACCCTAGGGCAGGTCTGTCCTGAGGATTGCTGTGGGTAGGGGTGGGGCTTGGATTTTTGCTTCCTTTTAAACATTAGAAGGTGGGTTTTGTGTTTTGTTTTTAAAAATTATTTATTTTAATGAAAGTTTCTGGAGACTGAGGATTTCCATTCATTCATTGTTGCACTTTTCTCCCTGCCCACCCCACGCTCCCCCCAGTCATCAGAAGTTTTAAAGAGATCCACCGTGTAGGCCCCTGGTCCAGTCATCCTCTACCTATGCTTCATTGGCGCCTCTTCCCGAGTCGGTGTTTCTCTGTGACCCTCTGTTAATTCTCTGGTTTCTTTCTGGACCAGGTCGCGGGATCACTGCGGCCCACTTGCCAGTATAGTTCCCTTTCTCTTCCCTTCGACTTCCACATCTTTGTCTGGGTGTCATTGACCTCAGTTGGGCTGCTGGGGGAACACATTGTGGCCGTCTTGTGTTTCTGTCTCTGTCTTCCGAAAGGATCCCTGGCGCCACAGTAGTTAAGACCTACTCTACTAACCCACAGGTTAGTGGTTTGACCCACCAGGCATTCCACGGAAGCAGGGTGTAGGAGTCGAGTGCTGGAGCCTGGGAAACGTGTCAGCATTCCTGCTCTGTCTTACAGAATTGTTAGGAGTTGAAATGGGCTCAGCAGCAGCCGCTCTGGGTTGCGTCATCTCTCACAGCCTCTCGTGGTCAGATGCCCATGTAGGACTCCGCTCAAGATAAAAATCATCCAGCTCCCCGCCACCGAGTCCATTTCAACTCATTGTGACCATCTGTGGGTTCCCAAGGCTGTAAATCGTTGTGGGAAGAGACTGCCCATCTTCCGCCCTTGAGGCAGCAAAGCTCCAGAGATGCCCAGCCTTTGAATTAACAGTACAGCTCACTGTGGACTGTGCCACTAGGACTCTACTCACAGAACTCATCACCACAGAGCTGGAACTGACCCCTAGCTGGCCCTCCAGGGGGTTTTCAGACGCTGTAAGTCCCATAAGAAGAGACTGCCATCTTTCTCCCAAGGAGCAGCAAATGGATTCAAACCATCTGCCTTTTGAGTTGGCAGCACAACTCCTTACCCACCAGGCTGTCAGAGCTCCCTTGGACTCCACCAGTTATGGGGGAAAGACGAGACGGCTATAGTAGGATGGGGCTACTTATAACAAAAATGAGTCCATTAACCTCTTGGAGCTTGGCTATACCTCCTCAGTTAAAGGATCCCTGTTCCCCACAGGCCCACTAGGATTCCAGAGTAGAAGGCCTGGGCAGAATTGCACTGGGACAGGAAGCAGTGGCTCAAGGAAGGGCTCGGGTGACAAACCTCTAGTCAGCGACCCAGCATCACTCACAGTTGGATGCCTCTACAGGAGGCTTGACCAAGGAACAAGGCAGCTTCCAAGAGAATTTGTTTCCTGTAAGAATCCCAGCTTGTGAAACTCCAGCTGCCGGAGCTGTGGATTGTGCAATTTCAAAGGAGCTAAAATAAGTCGCGCGTCTCATGCCAGGTGTCCCTGTACTAACATGACCTTGCCCCTGGTACACTTGGACTCCTGGCAAGAGGAAGTGGTCACCACGACCACTGTGATTAATGGGCAGGGCGCGTACTCAGGGACGATGTCCTCCTCCCACATGAGGTGTGAGAGTGGAGGCCTGGAGGGTCACCCCGAGGTGCTGTGTGGGTTGATGGCACCCTCACCTGAAAGGCTCTGGGGGAGCATGACTCGGGACCGGATCTGGAGGCCTCAGGATGGGCGCCTCTCCCAGTGGCCTCATCTTCCCCTCCTGCCGCTGGCTCTCTTGCTCGATTGGAATCTGCTGCCCTGCCCCAGTTGTCGAGGGATCTACTCAGTTCTGTGGCACCCGTCCCTGTGTGTGAAAGAGGATGCTGCTTCCTGTCCCAGCACCCAGTGGGCAGGGCCCTGGAGTGGCCCGGCTGGTGCTGTTCCCTTCTCAACATGCCTCTGTCACATGGCTCTTAATTCAGCCTCTGCCATACGGTTTGCCCTCAGGCTCCCAGAGGCCTGTGTTTCCCCAAGGTGCAAAGTCAAGGTCACCTGGCAAAGCTAGGCCCATGAGTGAGATTCTACCATTCAGTTTGCCATGTCCAAGACCCTGTGGGTTGTGACCTGCTACTCAAAGGATAGCAGGTGCTTTGGGGAGTAAGAGTCTTTAACTCTATTGGGGACCTGTCCAAAGTTAGGACCCTTGTTTTGTCTTCTCCTGCCCAGCTTTTCCATTCCTTAACTCCCTGTGTGTCCTTGCAGACCTGGAGTGGAAGATCATTTACGTTGGCTCCGCTGAGAGTGAAGAGTTTGATCAGATCCTCGACTCCGTGCTGGTCGGCCCTGTCCCAGCAGGGAGACACATGTTTGTATTTCAGGTAAGAAGGGCAGGACGTTAGCACCCAGAAATCCCCTTTTACTGTGAAACACAGCGTGATTTTGGCGAGCTCTGGTTGTGTAGTGGCAAAAAGCTGCACTACAATCCCAGAGGTGAGTGATTCGAATCCACCAGATGCTCTGCTGGAGAAGGAGGGACAATCTCCTCCTGTACCAGTCAGATCCTATTAGACGGTATTGTTGTTGTTGTTATGTGCCGTTGAGTCGTCTGCAACTCATAGCAACCCTATGTACAACAGCCCTAAACCCTGCTCTGTCCTGTGCCAATCGCACTGTCTCTGACACACCCACCCCTATTACCCCCTCCTGCGCTGTCCCTCCACCCTCCCAGGCATGATGTCCCTCTCCAAGGACTGGTACACACACCCAAAATAATAAAAATAAAATAAATTTTTAAAAAAACCAAACCACAGTGTGATTCAGTGACCAAATGGTCAGTTTCCACTCTTGGCTCTTCCTCTGAAAACTTTGGAAGGAAGGCGTTGCTAATCTAAACCGCCTGTTTGGCAATTCCTTAGGGAGGCCTGGGTACCTCACATACGTCCCTACCCTCACTTCTGGGGTCAGCTCTGTTACCTGGAGCTGGTGATTTAACTCCTAGATCACTCTAACCACGTGTCTCCTGGCTGTTAGGAGTGTAGCTTACAAGCGCCCCAGGTGATATTTTGCACCATCAGAGTTGGGTGTAACAATCTCAAAGTCATTCACTTCCCTCCGACCCCTTTCTTTTCCACATCCCACCTCCTGACCCCATCATCATCCAGTCAGTCAGCAAGCCCCACCTCTCCATCCTGGTCATGCAGCCATTGCCATCACTAACCGCTGTCCCCGACTCTCTGAATGCTGTGGTGGGTTGTCTGAAGCAGGGTTTTGTTTAGCGGGGTGTTTGTGTCTTTAAAAAACTATTTTCCGTAATGTTCATTAAAATTATTTAAAAAAAAAAAAAAGGAAAAAAACCCCAAACTATTTTCTCATAGTTTTAAAATATAAGAAGTCCAAGTTGATTCTTTTCCTTTTTTTTTTAATTTTTATTAATTTTAATGAAAGTTACAGAGAACTAGGGTTTCCAGTCATTCATTGTTGCACTTTTCTCCCTGCCCACCTCCTCCCTCTCAATTCACTCTGCTCCTTGAGAAGTAAAGGGAAAACTCTTTCATTGTTATGAAGAAGTCCAAGTTTAAATGCCAACTTTTTTTTTTCTTTTCTTCTCCCTGCCTCTTTTTAAACAGTCCCTCCGTAAGGACTATCCACTTAGCTTTGTATCCAAAGACGAAATTTGTAGGTGAAAGGAGTTAGGAGTTAGCCTTCATCACAGACTGGTTCATTTCAGGGTCGAAAATATGGAACGCTTCACGAATTTGCGTGTCATCCTTGCGCAGGGGCCATGCTAATCTTCTCTGTATCGTTCCAATTTTAGTATATGTGCTGCCGAAGCGAGCACTAAATGCCAACTTTAAGGAACGCTTTCCCCCCGTCACATCTGGAGGAAGGTCTTTGTCTCTTCTGAGCTTCTCCTCCCGTTCACATGGCTGGCCTGTCTCTCCACAGCCTCTATGTAATAGTTTGCATTTAATCTGTTGTGTTTCTATAGAGATTGACTCAAGACATACCCTACACTAATATTCTCTTATTCATTAACAAAGAAAGCTTATTTCCAAATGAGACTATAACTGCAGGCATATTGTTGTTAAGTGCCATGGAGTTGCGTATAACTCATAGTGACCCTGTGAACAATAGGTCTAAACCTTGTCCTGTACCAGCCTGATCGTCCGTGACACATGTCCATCTTACTGAGGGTCTTCCTTTCCTCTCATTGACCCTCCAATTTTCCAAGCATAATGTCCAAGGAATAGCCTCTCCTCACAACATGCCCACACTTCCTGACACACAAGCGCCCATCGCAGCAGTCGTCGTGTCAGTCCACCTGGTGAGGGTCTTCCTCTCCTTTGCCGACCCTCCATCCTTCCCAACATCATGTCCTTCTCCAAGGAATAGCCCCTCCTAGCAAAAGGCCCAAAGTATACGAGGCAAAGCCTCATCATTCTTGCCTCCAAAGAGCACTCCGGCTGCACCCTTTCCAAGTGTGTCAGGAAGTGTGAGGATGGTGAAGGAGAGGGCAGGGTTCAGGTCTTTCATTCATAGAGTCGCTGTGAGTTGACCTCGACTCAACGGCACCTAACTAACAACACGTCCAAAGTATATGAGATGAAGCTTTGCCATCCTTGCCTCTAAGGAGCATTCTGGTTGCACTCTCTCCACGATACATCTGTTTTATCTTTTGCAGTCCATGGCATAGTCAGCACTCTTGTCCAGCACCACGACTCAAATGCATCAATTCTGTCATCCTTATTCACTGTCCAGCTTTCAGACACATGGCAGGAGGTTGGATGCTCTTGATTTGAATCAAGCACACCTTTATCTTTAAACTGACATCACTGCTTTTCAGGTATTTAGGAAGCTTCTTCACAGCAGAATTGCATTGGAAAATTCTGTCAGGAACATCTCCAGAGTACTGAAGAGCAATGACATCAGTCTGAAGACTAAGGTGTGTCTGATCCAGGCCATGGTCTTCACAATTGCATACTATGCATCAGAAACCTGGACAATGACTAGGGATGATAGGAGAATTGATGCCTTTGAGCTGTGGTGCTGGACAAGAGTATTGAATATACCATGGACTGCTAAGAGAACAAACAGGTTCGTCCTAGAGAGGGTGAAACCAGGCTGCTTTTGGAGTCAAGGATTCTGAAGCTCTATCTGATATACTTTGGGCATGTTGCAGGGAAAGACCAGTCCTTGGAGAGGAACAACATGCTTGGGAGGGTGGAGGGACAGCTCAGGAGATGAAGACTCTCGTTGACTCAGTGACTGGGGTAATAATGGGGGTGGGTGTATCAGAGACGATAAGGTTGGCTCAGGATAGAGCAGGGTTCAGAGCTGTTGTCCATAGGGTCACTGTGAGTTGCAGGCGACTTGATGGCACGTAACAACAAGAGCATACATCTCCTGATCTCCTAACTACTGGTGCTGTATCAATGGTGTTGGTTATGGATGCAGAGACAATTTTATCATTGGCAATTTCAGTCTTTATCTATCATGATGTTATCTATTGGCCCAGGGTGAGGATTTTTGTTTTCTTGATGTTGACATGTGATCTACATGGAAGGCTGCAGTCCTTGATCATCTGCAGCGAGCACCGCAGGTCCTCCTCACTCTGAGCAAGCAGAGTTACATAATCTGCACATCACAGGCTGTTGATGAGTCTTCTCCAATCCTGATGCCAGTCTTCTTCATAAAGTCTTGCTTCTCTCATGACTTGCTCAGCATATTGATTTAATTGGTCTGGAGAAAGGATACAGCCCTGACACATAACTTTCCCAATTTTAAACCATACAGGGTTCCTTGCTCTGTTTGGTCAACAACTTCTTAGCTTAAATATAGATAGGTTTTGTATAAACATAGGTAAGTGTTCTAGGATTCCTATTCTTCTCCATGTTAGCCATAGTTTGTTATGATCCATACAGTCAAATACCTTTGCAGAGTCAATAAAACAAAAATAGACATTCTTCTGGTATTCTCTGCTTTCAGTTAAAACCTACTGATTTCAGAAGTGACATCCCCGCTGCCACAGCCTCTTCTGAACCCAGCAAGAACTTCCAGCAGTTCTCTGTCAGTGCACTTTTCTAGCCATTTTTGGATGATCTTCAATATTTTTCTTGCATATGATAGTAATGATATTGTTCAATAATTTCCACATTCTGTTCCATCTCCTTTCTTGGGAATAGTTACAAATATAGATCTCTTCCATTGGCCAGGGAATTCTGATACGGCAGGTGAGAAGGGGAAACAAATCCTAACCATGTATTTGATCTTTTTGTTAGTGTTGAGAATATATACAACAGAACATATGCCAGTTCCGCAATTTCTATGTGTGTAATTCTATGACACTGGTTCCATCCTTTGAGTTTTTCAACCTTTCTCACCCCCCTTTTCTGTGCTGTTCCTCCCCAGTTAATTTCTCTAGCTGCTGAGTGTCTTTGGTATTATGAGTTGATATTATTGTCATTATGATTCCATATAGATCAATCTTTAAAAAGCACAGTGCTCAAGGTAGATACTGTCTGCTAGTTAAGCCAAACCGTTAGCTGGTTTTATTTATTTATTTATTTTTAAAATTTTTTTTTTTTTTCTCGTTAGCTGGTTTTAAAACTTGAAGGGGATATGCTTGGTTTAAGATTTAAAGATTTTCTCGGGGCAGTAGTTTGGGAATTGTTGGGAGATTTTTGGTTTGTATTTTGGGTGGTTTTTTGGTTTTTTTTTAACAGGGAGACCTTTGTTTTTATTTTGCACTGGGCCCCATAAGTTACATTGCCGTGTCTGTCTAGACTCACACATCTTGAGTCTGTTCCTTTTCGTCCCTCTCTTCTGCCTGGTCCCAGGATGACGGCTGTAGCCTCCCAGCCAGTCTTGCTCTCATCACCTCTGTATATATAACCTGAGTCATCTTTTTTTAAGACTATAAGTCTGACTTGACCCTCACCTGCTAAACTTCTCGCTTCCCTGCTCTTACCTGGCCCAGTAGGTGGTCCGGGCCCTTCTGTCCACCTGTCCAGCTTCACTTACACCATCTCATCCTAACTCACTGCCCTCTAGAGTCTCACCAAACAGCTTGCTGATGCCTAAGGCCCTCTCCTGAGAACATCTGCCCAACACCTCTGGGCACTTGTCACTTTGGAATTTTACAGTCATATGTGTGATGGATTCTGGTTACTTCATTGGACCGTAAACCCCTGAGAGCCGAGATCATGCTTTCACTCCGTCTATCTCTGTTTCTAAGGAATTATTATCTGGGGCAGCGCCACGGTGGCATGCTTAAGTCCCAGTTGTGTTTCCCTAGGCTGATGCCCCTAATCCATCCCTCATCCCGGAGACCGATGCTGTCGGTGTGACTGTGGTCCTCATCACCTGCACCTACCACGGACAGGAGTTCATTCGAGTGGGCTACTACGTCAACAACGAGTACCCCAATCCTGAGCTGCGGGAGAACCCACCCCTGAAGCCAGACTTTTCTCAGGTAGGACCTGTTTTCACCTCTGCGTGCTTCAGCCCGGTGGCCCCTTGACACTGAGCGTGGCTTCATTAAACTGAAGAGCCAAGGTTCCTGCTTTCAGTGGCGCTCAGCCTAGTCTGCAGAGACTTGAGCTCCTAATCCAAAGGTGGCGCCTCGCTGGCGGTTCAAATCTCCCAGCTGTTCCTTGAGGGACAGATGGGCATCTTCTCCTGTGTGTGATTTACCACCTCTGAAAACCCAGCTGACCTTGATTCCCACTGCACGTCAGTTAGTTTGGGTTGGGTTTTTATTGTGGTTTGTCTTTTTGGTTTGGTTTGGGGGTTTTTTGGCTGGGAAAGAAAGGGTCATTGTTGTAGAGACTTGCCTCAGAGCAGAGAGTAGATTATCCTAACTGGAGGTGCCAGGGCTGTGCTGGTGCAGCAGCTGAGGAAAGCCTGGTTCTGGGGAAATAGCGAGGGGCACGTGGCAATGCCTCACACTCTGCTTCCTGCTCCTGCTCCAGCTCCAGAGAAACATCTTGGCTTCCAACCCCCGGGTTACTCGCTTCCACATCAACTGGGACAACACCACAGACAGGCCAGAGGCCATTGACAACCAGGACCTTTCTCCAAACAGCAGCTTCCCCCTCAACTGCACTCCTGTCAAGGGCCTGGGCCTCCCAGGCTCCATTGCTGGTCTTCTTCCAGAGAACTCCATGGACTGCATCTAACTGTGGGGACTCATGCCCACATTGGGGTCAGTCAGGACCAACTGAAGGAGGGTGCCAGGGCTCCTGGAGAGCTATGTGGGCCAGCTGAACGACTCCTGAACTGTACTTACATCAAACTGGTCACACTGGGCCTTGGGGAAAGAGCAGGCCTTGGGCCCCTCCAACCCCAGCATGGAAGAATCATCTCACATCTGCTCCCCAACCTATAAGAAGCAGGTACGCAGTTCTTCATTCCTCCTGTGTGCTTTCTCATTCACACATGCTATAAATTCACCTGGAGGCCACTGTATTCCCTTGAATGTCACCAACTCAAGGCTGTTTCCCACAGACCTCCCTGACCTCCCTTCCCAAGCATCTGAATAGATCCCCTCAGCTTTCAGGAGTTACAGCCAAGGAATCCTGGTTAGGAGGGTGACCTCCAATACAGTGTTGTCTTCACAGGAGGATTTTTTTCCCCCTCTTTTTAACCCAGCAGCTCCAGGCCCCCCAAAAGTGCCTCCCTATCAGTCACAGCCATTTTCCTGTTACCGCCTAGCTGGACCTGATATTCCCTAGAGACTGGTAGGGGGGTGGCATGCTGGAGGGTTGGCTGTTCCCTGGCTGCCTCAGTGTTCCGTTGAGGCTCCTCTCCTTCTGGCAGCCTCCGTCTGCCCTCAGCCAAGACCACATGCTCTCATGGACCACATGAACGTGGGCAAGAGAAGCTGTCAGGAGCTTGACAACTTTCCCTCCCTTGGAAATACCCCACCCCTGACACCATCCCTTCACTGCTGTGTGGATGCTGTTGTGATTGTAGTTTGTAAATTAAAGGGTTTTTATATTAAAATGTTTGGTTCATCTAAAAATAAAAAGCACTTCCCTGAGATGGATCGTTTTAGCTTGTGTATCTGGTGGGCAATGGCAGCTCCATCCACCTGCCTTCCTACCATTGGGGTGGCCTCTTCCCCTGTTCAGTGGCTTGACTACCCCGCCCTCTGGCTTGACTTTTGATTGCAACTTGGCCACAAAATTGTATTCCAGACTGTTTTGGGGAGTGTGTTTTCTTTGTGAAATCTTGAGCAAATCACTCCAAGCAAGAAGTGACCATCTACATGGTGGTCCACGTACACCAAAGCCATACTTTCAGAGGTAAGGAACTGTGCTGCCAACCCAAAGGCTCGCAGTTCTAATCTGCCAGGTGCTTTGTGGAAGAAAGGTGGGCTGTCTCCTCTTGTCGTATTGACTGCCTCTAAAAACCCACTGGAGAGTCAGCTGTGGGTTGGGCCGCAACCACCAGCTTCCTGTGGAGGTGCTCTGGCGGTGGTGTGTGTTGTACTAATAAAAAAGCCTGTCTGGTGGTGCTTCAAATCTTACCAGCAGTACCAAAGGGATACTGGTTACCCAATGCGGACAGAGAGTGGGGTGGAGCTCCCCGATTAAAACAAGCTTGGAAGGAGGAGTGGCATCCACTTCCGTAATACCTTCCCTCCAGAAACCCTATGAACCTGGAGAGAGGATGAAAGGCACCCAAAGCGTCGAGGACTCTCCTTCATAGGGTCGCTATGAATTGCCTGCCTCTTGGCGGCACTTAACAACCACCACCACCAAAGGGAAAAGATGGGCAGACTCCTACCACCGTGAAGCTTACTGGATGCTCACTGGTATCAGAATGGCTCGAAGGCAGTGAGTCACCTTGCCGTGTTCCCTCCACAAGCCGGCCGTTTTCACTTACTGGCTGTGGGTTTGGGGCAGTGGTGTGGACAACTGCATGCAGTTAGCACAGGCCCAGCAGGTCCTCCATTTCAGTGGTTCTGAACCAAGATGATTTGACAGTGTCTGGAGGGAAACTGGGTTGTAGGCAGTTAGGGAGGAGATGGGTAGAAGGCAGAGGTCGTCCTGCACACCCTACTGAGTGCACTAGACAGCGCCCCCCCGCCCCCCATGCTCCAGGAGCCAGGCCAGCAGCCGCTTTGGTGACCCTTGCTGCTGTACCACTGTCCTCAGGCTGTGTGCGTAGGCTAAGGACATCAAAAAGGACACCTTGCCCCTTCTGTCCTGTAGGGTAGGTTCTTTGAATTCTCCCAAACAGCAGTGCAGAAGGGGGCTTACCAGCAGGTTCCCCTCTCCTTTCCTCCTCTGTAAAATGGGGATGGTAGCACACATGATAGGAGTGTTTTGTGAAGTAACTGAGAGTGTGTCAACTTTGTACTGGCATATGCGCAGGGTGGGCGCCCAGCAAGGGTGCAGGCGCTGCCAGCCCGCTCCCAGATACCCCTTGTTCCTGGGGCCCAGCATCCTTCCGAAGCTGCTTCTGTGGCTGCAGGATACCCCCCCGCTGCCCAGGCCGTGGCCTTATGAATGACGGCGCCTGGGTAACCTCTGACCCGCAGCGCCAAGCGCGCCCAACCCCCGCTGGCAGGTGGACAGCGGCTGCGCGGGCGGCCCACGGTGCCAACCTTGGCTGGCTGGCGGCCGGTGCCGCACTGGGCGGGGGCGGGGGACTGCGGCGCGCTCGGGGCCGGCCGGTGTCGCCGGGCCGCCTCCTGGGCCTCCCGGCGCGGCCACTGGCCAAGCTCCGCCGCCCGGGCCTGGGCAGCCGACTGCGCTGCTACCCCGCCCTCTCACCCCGGGATTGACACTGAACGTTCTGCGGAGGGCCTGCCGGACCGTGCGCCACTGCCAATCAGCGGCCGCGCCGGGCGGGCCCCGGGCCCTGTTGCGCTTTTCGGCCAATCAGGTTCGTCCGCCCGCCCAGCTGGGGCATCGCGAGCGCACTAGTGGTCCGGAGTCCACGGAGCGCGTCAAGGGGCCCAGAGCCTATGGCAGCTCGGGAGGGTCACGGCGGGCCAATGGACAGCAGTGCGACGCCGTCAGTCACGGCTGCGCTGGCCAATGGGCGACGGGCTGCGGGGGCGTCACGGACAGCAGCAGCGGACTTGGGCTGAGGTTCCCGGGCGGGCGGGCGCGGAGAGACGCGGGAAGCAGGGGCTGGGCGGGGGTCGCGGCGCCGCAGCCAGCGCAGCCAGCCCGCAGGGGCGCCGCAGCCGCTGCCTAGCGCGCTCCGGGGCCGTCGGCCACCGCCAGCACCCACCGCGCCGCAGCCCCGGTACTGGCCCGGGCAGCCGCCGCCGCGATGGGCAACGCCGCCGCCGCCAAGAAGGGCAGCGAGCAGGAGAGCGGTGAGTGCCCGGGCCGTGACCCTGATCGAGGCCTCGCGCTGCCAGTCCCCTCCTTGCCCATCACCGCATGGCCCCTCCCCCACATCCCCCCCATTCTTTGCTGCTTACCCCCAGTTCTCCTGTCTGTCCAAAGCTGGGGCCCGAGAGCCGGCAGAATACCTTTCAATAGGCGCATTCCAGCCAAATGCCACCCCACACGGCAAAGGCAATGCGCCCTCCCCAGCTGTCACTACCACCCATGGCACCTATGACCGCTGGGGCCTCACATGGGACCCTGTCATCACCCCCTCTTTCTTGGCCCCTTTCTTCAAATTCTTATTTCCTCACTAACCTTATACACAGGTTCCACTGCCAAACCCCGACCCACAGTTCTGGCATCCTGGGAGTGTTATGGGGTCTGTCTCCACCCTAGGGGGACCTGGGACATTTGATGACCACACCCCTCCCCCCCAGCCCCCGCCATCTTCCTCCTGCCCTTTCCTTCTTCACTTTATCCCAGCCCTGTGCCACCCTTGAGCGTTTCCCCGAAGCCAGCATTGTTTTCCCCTTCTATGTCACTTGGCAGGGGGGACAGGATCTTTCTGGGTCCCTCTGTCCCTCTTTCTCGCTTGTTCTGTCACTCTGCCCCTCTGTCCCCTCCTCCAAGTAAGCGTCTGTCTCTGACTGGGAGAGCAGACTGTTTACGAAGCAAGGGAACTGCTTCAGTGCTTCCAACGCCAGATTTGAGCCAGTCTTTCTGGGATTCATTGCGTCCTCTTTCCCAGGGAGGGGGGTGGGGGCATCAGCATCCGCCAAACCCCTCCACTCTCTTGCTAAGCAGCGGGGCTTTGACCTCCAGGCTCCTGAAGGGCCCCTCAATAAATGGTTGTTTCACAACTGAGGCTCCGTCATTCACCAGGTCCCCAGGGCTGCTTCACCCGCTTCTGGCGCTGGGTGAAAAGTAGGGGGGGGGGGGTGAAGAGTGCCTGGATTTAGCAAGGGTTCGTTGGGTTTGAGCTGGGTTGGTGAGAAAGGGGGTGGGACAGTGGGGGAAGAGCAGTAGGTGACACCTATGGATTTGCTTTGCCAAAGGGACAAACAGATTCTGGCCATTCCCAGGGCCTAGCCAGAGAGAGGCCTCTTTCACTCCTTCGCACCCTCACATTGTGCTGGTCTTTTCAGGCCAGAGATTCTGCATCAGGAACTGCTTTCAGAAATGGTCTCAAGCCCCCTCCCCAATTTTTCCAGCTGGTCACTCCAACCTAAAGTTAGACCCCTACCTGAGAGTCTCTTCCAGTTACCTAGAAATAGAGCTGAGAAGGGAACCAGTGTCCGACTGTGCCCTCCCTGTAGTTATTGGCCTCAAATCTAGCATCTGATTCCCCTCTCCCGGAAAGAGCTAGCCCTGCAAGGTAGAGAACTTTATTCCCACCAGGTTCAAATAGCAGAACTTGAAGGCACCAGGCAGTCACAGGGAGTCCTGACATGTCACCGATGGGCGGGGAACAGGGAGGCAAGTGCCTGTAGTTGAGCGCTTGATGACAGAAGAGCAGGTGGGTAGTGTCCAAAAAAGGTCTGGGCATGAGCTCTGGGCATGAGGGGATTGGGGAGGGGAGAGGGGCCGGCCTCCAGCAGGTGAGGCTGCTGGGAGGTGGCAGGTGGAGGCAGGCAGCTATATATTACATTGGCTCAGTTGAAAGTTAAGGAGATGACATAGTCCTGGAAAACCTTCTAAGCCTACTAAGCACGTGCATTTGGGGGTGGAAAGCACCGGGAGGAAAAGGATCCCCCAAAAGACTCCGGAAGGAACTAACTCTCAGAGCTCAGGCCAAAAGACACCCAGGAATGGACGATGAAATAGAG